ACAGATTTTCTCTTGTCAGATCACACTCACCTTTCAGTTTTCTGGGTGGGCTATAAAAATCTATTCATATTGTAAGGTAAATGAAGGTGAATCATATAGGGAAAGAATGTTGGCACCTTACAGAATGTAAAGCGGGTTATGTTTGATCGTAAGAGAATCAAGAATACTGCCTATCACGTTTTCATATTAATCTTAACCACTATTTTATGCAAAAGGTTATTGCATGTATGTACATGCAATCTTTGATTTTCATATTATCGTAGAACAGATGGTCATTATTTTCTACTTTGGTTATTGTACAGGAATTAAAAATATGCAATGCATAAGTTAAACCAAGTGTTATTGTTATTTCGTATTATTTGTTCCGCAGTCTTCTGATTATTGCTCAGTCCATTTGTTTTTTTTTTTACCAAATGCTTTAATTGTTTCTTCTCATTGCATCCCATCAGTCTATCTATGAGTCCATGAAGTATTTGACGGTTGGTCAGAGTCAACCATGTAGGGAGGTGTAGACTGCCTGGTTGGGCTCATTAGGAGGATACTAAGGTCCGATGACTGGAGACGACTGGTGATGTAATTCTAAATCGTTTCAATAGGCATAACATTCGCTCTTTGTAATCTCCCATATCCACTAAACGGTCATGTTTTTTCTACATTACCATGCTTTCTCCCTCACATTATTTCTGTTTCTTATAATTCTTCTGAATTGCCTTTTCTCTCTCTTTTGTCTACCTCTGTATGTTACCTAGAGTGTGCGGTTTGAACTACCAAGTTCTATATTGAAACTCAGTGATCCTACATTGATGTGAATTCGGTCGGTTTTCGACATAGAACTTTGCACATATGTGCGGCAGTTCAAGTCGCCACACTCCCTCCATGTAGCACACAAAGCAAGAGAAGAAAGTAGGAGAAATGCAAAATAGAGACAGTAAACAGAGGTGTGAGACAAAGGAATAGTAATAACGGAGAACAAAACAGTTGAATTGGAAATCATGAGTCACAAGGAGTGAATGCATCTTCGCCAGTCATTGAGAACGATTTTGAGCCATATCACCAATTGTTTCCAACCATTGGTTTTTACCGTCCCAAGGACCCCAACCAGGAAGTCTACATCTTCCTACTGGCTTAGACTAATGTTGTGGATTTCATTGACTGGTGCCATGTTTTCGTTTGACCGCCGCTAGCTCTTTTCCAACCTATCCCTATATCAGCTAACATTGCCCGCCGAGGAAGTCGATGACTAGACATACGTAACACATGTCCTAACCATCTCAGTCGATGTAATTTCACAGTCTCGTCGACTGATTTCCTCGCCTTACCTAGCACTCGACGCCTAACCTCAATATTGCTCACCTTATTATACCACTTCACGCGGGAGATAGAACGCAGACACCTATGATGAAAGACAGTACTTTCATGTCTATTGATGTGAATCGGTGGGTGGTGACTACCAGTGGAATCTAGGATGCGCATTTCGTCCTATTTGGGACTCATCATTTGGATGTACCTGCATTCCCCAGTGAGTGTAGTGAGGGATGGTGTTCTCACTGAGGCTCGAACCCCGTAACCATAGTTTCAAACACCAAAGCATTATCTACTAAACCACTTAGGCCACGAGAGCCACCTCTTGTGCAACGGGACTTTTCCAGTTGATTGATTGAACCGAAGTGCTTGGCCTCAGGTTGATGTGACAGCTCCTTGTGCAGATACTCCGATGATGTCTGGCGTTTTAAACTGTGGGTACCGGGTTCGGGCCTCAGTGGGAACACCACTCACTCACTGGGGAATGGAGGTACCTCCAGTTGGGGAGTCCCAAATAGGACGAAATGCGCATCCTGGATTCCACTGTTAGTCACCATCCAGCCGAATTGATTCAAGTTAAATAATCAGATATCGTAAAAGCATCTGCACAAGAAGCCGACATGTCAACCTGAGACCGAGCACTTCGGTTCGATAAGTCAACGGGAAAGTCAAGATTGAATTAAATAACAGTGATCCCACCATTGTAATATCTTCATGACTTCACTATTAGTTGATTTCTCAGCGGTATTCTCGCATATGGGCCTCTTGAAAGCGTGCCTTGATATTACTATGACTACTGCCTAGAGAAGTTACTTGTTTGACGGTGGTTAACAGTGGAATCCAGACCGGATGTTTCGTTGAGTTTGGGATTCATCAACTCATTGTATCTGATCTCTGGTGAGTGCTAGTCTTTCCACCTGAATCCCATAAGTGTCTGCGTTTTATCTCCCGCGTGAAGTGGTATAATAACGTGAGCAATATTGAGGTTAGGCGTCGAGTGCTAGGTAAGGCGGGGAAATCAATCGACGAAACTGTGAAATTACATCGACTGAGATGGTTGGGACATGTGTTACGTATGCCTAGCCATCGCCTTCCTCGACAAAGGGCAATGTTAGCTGATATAGGGATAGGTTGGAAAAGAGCTAGCGGCGGTCAAACGGAAACATGGCACCAGTCAATGAAATTTACAACAGTTAGTTTAAGCCACATAGGAAGGTGTAGACTTCTTGACTGGTTGGGGTCCTCGGGACGGTAAAAACCAATGGTTGGAAACAATTGGTGATATGGCTCAAAATCGTTCTCAATGACTGGCGCAGATGCATCCACTCCTTGTGACTTATCTTTTCCAATTAAACTGTTTTGTTTTTCGTTATTACTATTCCTTTGCCTCACACCTCTGTTTACTGTCTATATTATGCATTTCTCCTACTTTCTTCTCTTGCTTTGTGTGCTACATGGAGGGAGTGTGGCGACTTGAACTGCCGCACATATGTGCAAAGTTCTATGTCGAAAACCGACCGACCGACCACCTGAGTCTTGTGCATACCACCTATCGCTACAAAAAGAGAAGCGTTTTTTCGTTTTACTAGGTTATTAAGCTATGAAAACCACCTCTTGTGTGTGTAAAGCGGATTTAATTAGAAATTATTCATTTATACTCGTAATTTCTGTTGGTGTATCTACAACAGCATCAGTATTCACACTGGAGAGAAGGTATCAAGCAGGATGAAACACTCATATCTTCGATTCTACTGGTGGACACCATCAAACAAGTAGGCCTCTTTTTGGGATACTTATAAGCGTGTTCATTAGTCAGTCACTCACAAGTGCGATTCTACTCATCGTCATAAGGAGACAAGTGGGACAATTGATTTGAACAATTAGACAGTGTAATTGTGTCTTATATATATAGAAGTATTATTTATTATTATTGTTCCCTTGGGCTCCGAGTGTAACATAAGACTTCAACAGCACGTCTCCACATTGTCCTATTTTCTGATGTCATCTTTAGCTGGCCCCACGATTGCGCATAATCTCTGATCTTCCTCTCGCACCATCTCTTCTATGTCATCCTCGGACGACCCATTCGTCGTTTCCTATTTGAGTTCCACTCGAGTGATGGCCTGGTAAACGATATCAATCGACAGTCTCCTCCTATACAGAAGTAGTGTTCGGTAATCCTGTTTACACGTATGTAAATGTGTCTGCATTCTGTTGTGTTTGGAATACAGAAGTTATATGGATACCTTTAGGTGGGATACCTTTTAGTGTTATTCTTGGGATAGTGGATACTTCTAAAGTCTTTCACTGTCTGTGGCTTGTGGGGCAGATTTACGACAGTTTTCCATCATAAAAGTCAATTTCACTTGTTCATTTAAGAACTATTGTGTTAGCAGTCTTTAACCTTTAAAGTTTCAGTAGTGCTTGTGTTGTTTTTACGGGGTGGTGTCACTAGTCTTACACCCAACCTTCTATCATCTTCCAGGCTAACTGTCGACCAGTAGTAAGCTAGGTAAGGTTTAGGAGTACGTCAGACCATGTGCGTGGCTGGTGCGCGAGCATTCTGCCACTGAACCACTGAACTGTCGACCCACATCATTGTTGTTAGGTCTTTTGAGAAATATGACTCTCGTATCAATCAACATTCAGATTAACTTGCTAACATTATTTATCAAGGCACATTAAAAAAAAAACTATAAAAGAATGACTGTAGTTTTAAGTTGTAAAATGTTGCGCTGCTATCAGCAGCTGCATTATTCTTCATCAGATTTAATTAAGATAACAACATTACAGTATATATTTCGCCTTAAGTCAGTTTCACTTGATGATTTACTTTTTTCTGGTTACAGGATTTCATCATGAGCTGACGTTGGTTAGAGAACCATTGGAAAACCTGGGAATACAGGACAGCTGTTTCGTCAGCCTAGTTTGGGACTCTTCATCAGTACGCACCCACCGGGGTTCAAACCCAGGACCTTCTGGTTACAAGGTGAGCTCGTAAACAAGGTTTTCCAATGGTTCTCTAACCAATGTCAGCTCATAATGATGAAATCCTGTAACCAATCAATCAAATCCCTACAAACCAATACTTGAATTTCTTTTTTCTGTTGAACTTGCCTCAATAATGAGTGTTCTGGTAAAACTGACTTTCCAGTAGTTGTGAAGCCGTGTGACATTTGTGTCTGTGGAGTATTTTTCTGGGCTTCTGATTTTAAGAACTGACGAATTCTATGTTACGCTTAATGTAAACGTCTATTGCTTTAGAAGTATTTCCTGGTTGTAACTGCCTATATGATACATCTTTTTTTGTATACGTCAACTTGGCCACATATTAACTTAAACTTATTTATATTGCTTGAAATCTCCCATATAGCATTCTTTCTGTTGTTTTTGATCACCTAGAACTCATTGTATTTTATAAGAGTTTTGTATGTTCACCGAGAAATTTCGCCTAAAACTATATACTACTGATAAATGATTGACATGAGTAGTTGTATGTCACTCAAATAAAACAGTAGTACTTGCTAGCCAGTCAGATTGAAGTGATCTAAACGCCAGATGGCTGTTCGGGATCATCAGTAGGGTATCCGAACTGACTTAGCTTAGAGAGCTGAATCAATATTATATAATATTAATCAATATTAAATAAATAAAAATAAACATTTTTTCGTCTGTTTTTTTCTTCTCTCATTTTATAGAGGCTTAACTCAACATGGTTGCAACCGAATTTCTTGGTTATATTCAATCCTTTTCTGTTTGTAATTATGTTGGATTTGAAGATTTAGCTGATCGTGCTAATTTTCAATGGAATGTTATCATACTACTTTTATGTATGATATTAGTAACATTGAGACAGTATTTTATGACTCCACTGGTGTGTTATATACCAACAACAGTGAGTGGAGTGAATGCTGATTCGTATATCACTAATCTATGCTGGATTGAAGGCACATTCCCGATAAATCTTACCTCTGGAATTGTACCGCATAAATTACAAGAATGGGAGGCGCTTAGACCACAACAAATGAGTACGTTTACTTTTACTCTGCTTTACCTCATAAAAATATTTAATTTATTTCTAATTATTATCAGTAGTAGCGTTTGTTTCGCATTATGCATCAGTTATATATATAGGTCCTTTTGTGTCATCACTATAGTATAGTAAAGAAATGTACCTCATGTTGTGTGTGAATAAAGAACCATAAGTCAGCCACGAGATCTCATTTCGTAACCTCGCTTGAAAGATGTGCAGTTATTTAGGAGGGGGGTGGTTGTATATGTATAGAGTGTTAATTGACAACAGAGGTTAGAGGTTGTTATTGTCATTTAGTAACAAAATAAGTTGGATTGTGTAAGAAGTATTGAGTGATTTTGCGTTGTCAAGAGGCTTGACAACTGATTAGTGAAGTGATGAACAAGTATTTGGTAATTATTGTTAGAGAAAAGAGAACAAACGATCGAAAATGATATTTAAATGTTGGTTTGCAGGGATTTCATTATGGTTACAGGATTTCATCTTGAGCTGATATCGTTTAGTGAACCATTTGAAAATCCACCAGGGCAACCGGCTATTTCGTCAGCCTAGTTTGGGAGTCTTTAGCAATACGCATTCACTTCCACGGTTCGAACTCAGGTCCTTATGGTTACAAGGCGAGTGATCTCATAGATCATTAAGCCTCTGGGATCCCATCCATTGGCCAGTGCCAATTCACGATATAAAGTCCCCTCACACCCGACCTGGTGTACTTCATTGGTCATGATGAAACCCTTTAACCATTAAAATTAAATCCCTGCGAACCAATACTTAGATATCAATCTGATGCTCACTAGCGGCTGGACCTATTCAGGTAGGTAGTTATCTGAGTTCTAATGAAAAGTCGTGATCAGAGGGGTACAGCAGATTGGGGTGTGAGGACAAATACTCGCCACCTGTCGCGCTGTATTGTCAATTGGTAGAAGTTGGAATTCATGGGGTGGCCGTTCCATCGGGTCCCAGTGGCCCAATGGTATACGAGCTCGCTCACGTTGCAACCGGAAGGTTCTGGGTTCGAACCCTGGCGGTGGGCGCTTACTGATGAAGAGTCCCAAGCTAGGACAAAACAGCTGGCTACCCAGTACTCTCTACTGGTTTCCCAATGGTTCACTAACCGATGTTTAGCTCATGATGAAATCCTGTAACCGATTGAAAATGAGTTAGGAAGGAAATTAGAAAAGTCCCCCTGATGAGATCCGATAAAGAAAGAAGGACCAGATTTGGAGTATAAAATGATATGATTCTATTTCACAGGTTCTCCTCATCAGCTGCACACCACTACCTGTAATTACAAGCGTTATAAGTAATGACAATAACATACTTCAATGTTTGAATAGCAATGGAGAAAATATTAAAAGGTAACTCATCTAAAATACAAACAGCATTACAATTCTTAGTTTGGCAACTCTAAAGAATAGGAGCCCAAACCAAAACGACCTACGAACGTACAAATAACCTTGTCAAGGATAACTTCGACCAGTCAGGAAGCTCGAAAAAAAACGGCGCATAATTTTAAAAAATCGTTTATATAAAAAGAATGCAATGTTAAAAAATGGTTACAATGGATAACGTTCTCGTATATGTTGCAAAAAAGCTCCCAATTTCTCATAGGTGTCTTTATACTGATGTTAAACCGAGTTCTATACATAAACTCATCAAGATAACTGTATATAATTGGATTTCTAGATCCATTCACCAATCTAATCCATTTTTTTAGGTGACTCCAGAAACTTTCGATTCGATTAGTATGAGTTCGATCCAAAGGATTGCGAAAACCATCTGTACACAAACCCATCAATGGACTTTGTGTAGTTTTGTATACGCATATCATCTCCGCACTGACAAATTTTCGACCTTGCAATCAGTCCCTTATCCAAACAGTCATCAAAAACAAGATCCGGAGCGAATTTACAACGCAAAAGGTGTAGAGCATCTATATTTACTTCTATAAACAACACAGTCAGCTGATTGCTTTCTCAAGGTCGTTCGTGCGTTCCTAGGTCGTTTCGGTTTGGGCTCCTATTCTTAAGAGTTGCCCTTAGTTTAAGTCACCATCATTTTATATGCTTTCAAAATAGAAAAGGAGGTGGGAAGAGGAGAGAGAAGCCAGAGAAATCTAATAAACAATGTGTCTGCTTGTAGATTCACATAGCAACTCAAGAAGGTCATCATAGTTCATGATAAGATTGAAAACTTGCTCAGTGAACTGAAATCACTAATAAGGATGACTGATCAGTGTAATCAAAATCCAGTTACCACGATTGACTGAGAGATTGGATTACACTCTCTTTCTGTATGCATGTAAGTATGGTTTGAAACGCTTGCTTGCAATTGCTTCAGTAAATCATAGTAAATTTACTGTGGATCTGGTCTTTCTTTAACGATAGATTAAAAGGACTACATAGAGTTTGTTATACACACCATTCAGGAAAATAGAAATTGACACTAAGGCTATGGAAGTAAAAGAAGTTGGATAAAAGCTTTCTGAACACAATGTCCAGGTTTTTTCCTAATGGAATGCTAAAGCTTCGGCTTCATATGAAGACGATGTAGACGAAATCCTTTCGAACAGTTTGATCGCACTTGACTCGGAATGAATTTCCTGCTGATTTTGCCTGACCAGAAGTAATAATATGCTCTAGAATTCAGCTGTTAACTGTTCCGAGTTCTTCCTGTAACAACCATACTGGTAAGTGCTCATATTACTAACTGACAGTAACTTCTGACCTCTGTTATCAGTTAGCATTGTATGTATAAACCCCCCTGAATAACTAACTACAGCTTTGAAGTGAAGTTACGATAAAACAGATCTCTTCGTCGACTTATCGTTTCTAAATTACATGAAAAAGGGGGGAGTTTCAACAATACCTTGAAGAAATCCAAGTTCCCATTGACAGTAATTGGAGTTCAGTTGTGTTCCCCAATTTTCTGTCAAACTTGATGCAGCAAAGTCGAATCCCGGTGGGTACGTACTGATGAAAAGTCCCAAACTAGGACGAAACGGCTGTCCAGTACTCCCAGGTTTTCCAATGGTTCTCTAACTAATGTCACCTCATGATGAAATCCTGTAACCAATCAATCAAATCCCTACAAACCAACACTTGAAAGTTGAAAACTGCTTTTCTCGAAGAATTGTATCACAAATCATTAGTATCCAGAGAAATTATACAAAATGGAATCATGTTTTACGACAATGTCTTGATTCTCCTCGTATCATCAGTGGATCCAGATTAATCAACAATATACAATCAGTTTAATTCACCTAAACTAGTTATCTACGAGGGTGGGAGAGTTGAAGTGTGTAACCAACTGCCGGAATCTGGTTGTATCTGACAATAGAAGCACACTAAATCAAAGCGATTTATTGTTGAGATAAGCAATTTCGAGGTGTGATTTTATGCCGCTTGACACTGAATATTTTGTTTCGAAAGCACTGAACACAAATACACAGTCATCGACGAAGTTAAGATCTGGTTCTATTCAATGAGAGTAGTAACACCGTAAATTCCCCCCCCCCCTATAATTGAGTAGAAATTTAAACCGATTATCCTGTTCAAGTTCTTTTTGTGACTCATTTTAACCAAGATTCTAGCAACGGCTTGCAGAAACTCGATCTATTTGAAGGTAGACCAATAATTGACATTGGTTGTAGAACCATTGAGGACTAGGGAGTACTGGAAAGCTGTTTCTTCCTCGTTTGGGACTCTTCGACAATATGCTACTATGACTCCATCGTTAAGCATCGAAGCTAGGACCTTCATGTTACAGGGCCATTTAGATATTGGGACGGAGTCTGCCAATTCAGAATATATACATTCCCACCACCAGCCAATGTTATCAACGAGTATTTGTCCTCATACTCGGCCTGGTCGAGCCTACCGGTTATGAATTATCACTAGAATTTCAGGCACTTCACCCTGTCGCCAGTCACTAGTGAGTGTTAGGTTCTTCTTTAAGTGTTTTTTTTGCACGGATTTGATTGATTCCGAGATCACACCACCCCGTAACTCGAAGGTCCTGGTTTCTACCCCCGGTCATGTAAAAGGTTATTAACGGTACTTATAATAATAATGCTGCGACTAGGGTTCGATACGGAAGGGCAATAAGTAACTCGTTTGAAAACTGAATATCAATACTAATTTCTAATCACCTCTAACTCCCAGAACTCACTCAAATGAATACGGAAGACGGATAAATTCGGGCCGGTGAGAACAATCGATTTGTATTATACCAAAATACATTATATAGAGGTGTTACCCACCTCAGAAAGTTAAGCCAGTAAATAAACAATGTAATAGTTTGCGTAAGTTCAGGCGTCAACAGTTGTCCAGTCGCGTTGTATCATAAATATTTTGCCCCAACACCATGGTTCCAATTTGTACAGACTGGTTTTAGCCGGTTTTATCCTTTTTCAGTTCAAATTCAAGGGTAACACACAGTGGGATCATGAAGGTACTGATTTCGATCCCAGTGAAGTTATGGATGTGTATTCCTGAAGAGTCCCCCAAAATGACAGAACCAGTCCCTGACTAAATGCAGTCAGCAGTTATAGCGCCTCAGACTGCAGCACTTGGTTTATGCGTGTTCATATTTCAGAGAGGATATCAGTTTCCTGGAGGTTTCCTGATGAGTGGTGTGAATAAGTATGAAACTCGGATTCACGGCTTCCTACCGATCACCTCCAAACTATCTAACATTATTATTTAACTTGAGCTTTCTGGCTGATGTCGCTGTTATACGGCATAACTGCCACACTCTATTTTCTCATTGCCTTTTGTTTACCTGGGCGGTAATGTTCTCTAGTCTCTACACTGTCGTTGTCAATCAATATATTAGTTTTAAATATATTCTTATAAATTAGCTTATGGATTAATATAGAATGTTCGGTGTTCAACTGTGTTTAAATACAATCACTACATGTTGTAATCCAATATTTTCTTTTAAGGCGTAAACTTCATTATAATCCTTAGTCCTATGTCAATCATTGAATAGCTT